AAATCAAATATTAACCAATCAACGACGTGAATATCACGTCGCTACCTTGCCATGTGATATTTACGTCGCAACCCCTACAACGGTTATATTTTTATTCAGTCAACATGCATGTTTCAGAATAACATCTTGTCAAAGACATAGTTTTTTCACTCTTAAATATTTGCCAATGTGTTTAACGCGTCACAATAATTTTTTTTTGAAATATTCAAAATTCCCTCTTCAACACGCCTGATGCTTAATATTTGTATCTACTTTTTTATGTTGTGACGTGTTTCCCACGTCGCAACTTATTTATAAAAAAATATAATTCTGACTAGCACAAACCAAATCTTACTTAAATGTTAAAATAATTTATTAACGTGATTATCACGTCGCAACTACTAAATTTTAGTGACGTGATATTGACGTCATTAAAACACGTCGCTGGAGAGCATTTTTCTTGTAGGGTTAAAACATTGAGTTAAAACATTACTTTTGTATTAGCTCTTAAAAATAGATTACTTTTTATTCTCACTTTTTTATATTCTATTTCCTTTAAAATATTATTTAAAAACAAACGTATCTCTATAAAAATATTTTACTTAATTATATTTAGAAAAATATAAAATATCCTTATAAAATCTTAGCTAGAAAAAATGTCCTTTTAGAAAATATTTTACATTATTAGATCTTAAAAATAGATTACACTTTTACAAAAATTAATTACTTTTGTTCCCACTTTTTCATATTCTATTTTCTTTAAAAAATTTATAAAAAAAAAAGTATTTCTATAAAAAATATTTTACTCATTAATATTTAGAAAAATATAAAATATCTTTATAAAATCATAGCTAGAAAAAAATGTCCTTCTAGAAAATATTTTTCTTATTTAACATAAAAATACTACATAGATCAGTTGAAAATTAAAGTAATATCGTTTATATTAATATTTTATATTAGAGAAGAAATTAAAAAATATAATAATAATTTTTATATTAATTAACAAATTACAATTTTCTTATTCTATTTGTATATAATATTTACATATAAATAGTTGTGATAATTTTTAATTTTAAAGCATTATGATTCAATTAATTAATATGTTACATTTTTATATATATCTTTTAAAATTATAATATCGTGAAAGTTGTAGAGTCAATAAAATGAATTTTTTATCTACATACCACTTTTTTACCAATAAATTCCTATACTACCATACATTTCAACACATATTCCTAATATACCATGTTTTCAAACAAAAAAAAAAATTGAAATAAGAGGCTCCGCCATTGGATTGGCGGATGCTCTCTAAATTATAAAGCTTCCGCCCATTGGATTGGCGGAACTGTTATAATATCATTTTTTTTATTAAATTATACAGTAAACACAATTACACTCTTCCGCCCATTGGATGGGCGGAGCTTCTAAAAATTAAAACACTTCCGCCAATTACTTTTGCGGATATCAAATATTTTCAACAGTTCCGCCCATTCACCTGGCGGATATTTTGTGACAAAAATAAAATTTGTTTGAAAACATGGTAGTACGGGAATATTGATTGAAGATGATGATATAATGGAAATTTTTGTGTAAAAAGATGGTAAGTCTGTAAAAAATTCCAATAAAATTGTATCTTTTCAAAAACTTGATATTTTTTTCACAAAATAAATGTGATCTGATTTCTAAAATAAATTAAAATATTGATAATAATTACACTGTGATATTTTCTCAAATTGATACAATATAATTATTTTATATTAATTTTTAGTTATTGTTAAATATTTTGAAAATATATTTATTTTAATGTTATTTTAAAAATATTTTGACTATTTTTTTATTTTATTTAAAATTATTACTATTTACGTAAAAACGTAAAATATATTATTTAAAAATATTAAACTATATTTATATTAAAGAGTCAACTTTAAAAACTTTCATACAATTTATCAAACACAATAATAAATAAATCGCTCTCCTTACAGAATAAATAAAGTAAAGTGCATAATAGTAAAAAATAATTATAAAACATAATAAATTTCATTGTATGTCAACTATAATTTACACCAATGGTGTATATTACTTTGAATATGGCATTTTTAATTCTAGAACTATATGTCCTAACTTTAAGTTGAAGAAGACATTTTTAAAAGATTTAGAAGGAAAACTGACATGTTTTTTATTCGATATTATTACATATTTATAATAATGTAATTTATTTCAAAAAGGTTTATAGCAACAACAATCCCCTTCAAAAGTACATGAACCAACTTCAAATCCCGCCTGAATGCATCTTTTTTCGCAATCTCCACAATTTCCAAAAATGCATTTTGATTGAAAAGTATCACCTTGGGTAGCTCCTGCTACAAAAACATTCTCGAACTCAAAATTCTTATTAATATTTTAACAATGATGTGAAAATAGAATTTAAGGGAAAAAGGTTCTTATGTTTCTTACCTGAAGATAGAACCAACGCAATGCATACAAGTCCCAAGAGAAAAAGCTTGCAAATGTGCATCGACATTTTTTAGTCAAGATTTTATCTTGCATAGCAAACTTTAAGTTCTTTATATAGTACTAATTTCATTAAAAAAATCAGAGAATTAAACTCTATTATTTATTATTCTCTTTGATCATTAATATAAAAAAATAATTATTTTTTAAATTCCATTTGAAAAATAATATTTCTGGATTAAATGAAGTCCAGATACATTATTTTTTATAATAAATTTAAAACGTAATTTTTTTATATTAAACTCAAAACTAGTATTTATTATATGATATTTTAAAGAATGAGTAAAAAAAGTATTCAAAATTGAAAAACTCGTATAGTACACGACTACTCACATCAAATATTATAGAACGAAAGTGACAATTTTTAGACCCACAGTATATGCCCTATATTTAATATATATTAGAGAAAAAAGAGACCGTTTATAATGATATTTATTTAACATATGGAAAAGTGACAATAATATCTTTATCTTATTTTAATTTTAATTTCAATCAATTCATGATTGTCAGAATGACAACCCTAACCACGTATCATATCGATAGAAATTCTAGACAAAATTTTAATTCTACTTTTATTAATTTGACCCTCATTAAGAATAAACAATAATAATAAATATAATAATAATAATATAATATTTATAAATCAATAATAATAATAATAATAATAATAATAATAATAATAATAATAATAATAATAATATAATATAAATCATATATAATAATATAATATTTAGCTTATAATAATAATAATAAAAGAAAATAATAATAATAATAATAATAATAATAATAATAATAATAATAATAATAATAATATTTTCCAGCTACCATTATTATAATAATAATAATAATATATTCAATTACCACTATTAAAAATATCCAAATGAAAATCGTGATTAAAAAGATCTTTCTAACCTAGAATATACACTACAAGAAATACTTTTATTTGCGACGTGAATTTCATGTCACAACATAAAAAATCACGTCATAACAAATTATTTGCGACGTGCACGTTCACGTGGCTGGAGAGGGGGTGACAAATTGTTTGCGACGTGATTTTCATGTCATAAAGTTTTGACGTGAAAATCACGTCGTAACATACTTTTTATAGGAATTACAACGTTGCTAGAAAAACAAACGTAGCAGAGTTAAAGTAACTTTAGTTGTGACGTATTTTTCACGTCAAAAATTAGTGACGTTAAAAATACGTCACTAAGTAATTACATTTAATTCCTCTTATTTATTTAGCGTTTGTTTTTTTTTTATATAAAAAATGAGGTTGCGACGTGATTTTCACGTCACAAGTTGTGACGTGAAATTCACGTCACTAATATTTTTTTTAATTTAATAACTGAATTTGTTTTTCTTTTATATAAATTCAATTTAATAAATTCAATATAATAAATTAAAATAATAAATTCAATATACAATAAATTCAATATATAATAAATTCAATTTATTAAATTAATATAATACATTAATAAACTAAAATTATAAATTTAAGAATTAATTAGTAGGTTTAATTAATTAGTATGATATACAAATTCAAATTTGAAAGTAATATAAAAAAAAATAAGTTTACGGGTCATCTTGGTTGGTATAATTGTCGATGTAAAATTATCGTCGTTTCCGTCACTCTCCGGCTCTTGACGACGAAAGTTTGAATTTCCACCAAACCCTTGCCTAAATTGTCTCATTTGTTGCTCCATATCAGTTTGTCTCTTTGCCACGATCTCCATTTGTCGTTGTTGCTCTTACCTCATTGCCTCCATTTGGGCTTTCATTGCCGCCTCACGTTGAGCTGACTCGCATCTCGCCTCATTTAACATGAATTGTCTTACCGTTTCAAGTTATTCTGGTGTCAAATGTGGTTGACGTGATCCCCCCTTCCCCATCTCTAACTCTTTGAAATAGAGTTATATCCCCAGTTCTTAAGGTGCCCGCTAAATTTCTACCATCAAAAAAGCAATTGTTAGGGTCTTTTCCACCATTAAGTTACTCCCAAATATAAAAGTCCACATCTAGATGAAGCGGGCTCTCCCTCTCCCGGAGTATATTGAGGATTAGAAATCTGAAAATTTATGAGCAATGTTTGATAATCCTCCTATACATTCAATAAAAAAAATTAAGTTAATATTTAATAAATTAAATTAAACTAAATTAAATTAAAGTATATTATATTTAAAAAGTTGCGACGTGATTTTCACGCCACGACTTCTCAATTGCCACATGATTTTCACGTCACAGTTTCTCAGTTGCCACGTGAAAATCATGACACAAAATTGTCATTAAATAGAAATATTTAAACAACAACGTAAATTAAATAACTTATGAAAGCTTTTAGAGTGCGTTCGTCAACAAAATTCCCAGTTTTCTTTGTGCGAGTCTTTTTAACCAACTCAATTATCAATGGAGGTCTCCCCAACTTCTTGGCCTAAATAATAAAATTAACATTAATTAATAAAATATATTAAGACTCAAAATATAACTTAGAAAAGTGGTAATATTTACCATGCGTCGAACATGCTTTGCGGTACTTATAATTCCAACTGCATTAACGCAACCTCCTTTTTCAGATGCCCTCATCTTCTTAAAATTTTCATATTTAGTTTGAAATTCGGGTGACTCCTAATATTTAAGAAGTTCCTCAAAAACCTCTTTTCCTATCCAATTGGGACGGATATCCTGAAGTTCTCAACGCTCTCTAACACGCCGCATTATGTTAGAAAGTCGTCTTGAGATTCTGCCATATAAATTTGTTTTATCATCTTCTCGTTCAATGGGTCCCACACATATTTTCCTGCAATATTGTATGACATTAAATAAATAATTAGATAATTATAATGAAAAGTCATTTAAATAACAATAACTAAAAAATAAATTAATTATACCTTAAATTTTTTAAACCAAACTTCTTTCTTTTTGACATCTTTTAAGGTCTTCCAAAATTATTTATACATCTGTTGAATTATATAATTTATAAATTTGGCAGCAGTCCGACTCGGCGAGAAACTAATCAACAATAATTTTCAATGAAACCCCTTCTATGCAAATCGTGCTACTTCTTCCAGGTCACTAATTATTGGTCTACATCTACATTTAAGAGCCAAGGACACCTAACTCCTCCTTCACTTCGACAATATTCCTGAGCAAACGCCCACGTGATAAACTCATTAACTCCTTCTATAAAATGGGGTTTAAGTGCACATCTTCTGAATATAATCTATCGTACATCCAACTACGACCATACGGATAATATTTCATAGTGCATATTTATACAATCATTGTCTTATTATTAACTATAAATAGACATTTAACTATAGTAACTATACTTAAATTGTATAACTATTTTGAATATATATATATATATATATATATATATATATATATATATATATAATATATATATATATATATATATATATAATATATATATATACACCGTACATTTAATAAACATATTAATAAATATATTGAATATATATTAACCATAAGTTTTTTAACAAAGATATTATTCTTTTAAGAAATATAAAATGTAATTATATTCTATTTTATTTTATTTTAAATACACATATATAATATATTCTACTTTTAATATATAATTTGTTTAAAAATGAATTAGTCTATTTTAAAAAAAAAATAATATATTTCGTTTTTTTATTATATTTTATTTATAATTATATTTTATTTATAATTATATTTTTTAAAATTAATAATGTCTTTTATACCTATCTATTATATTCGTATTAATATTTTTTATTAAAATATAATTTTTTTATTAAGATAAATATATCTTCTGTTTTGATTATTATATTTTGTTTTGACTATAAAAATAAGATGTATAAATAAAACTTTTTTTATTAAAAACTATATGATAAAAATTATATAGTAAAAACTATTTTAATATATATATATATATATAATATATATATAATATAATTAATATATATATATATATATATATATATAATATATATATATTATATATATATATATATATATATATATATATATATTATATATATATATATATATATATATATATATATATATATATATATAGTATATATATATATATATATATATATATATATAAAATAAAGTTTTAATTTTGACAATATATTAAATAGAATAAAGAATATAGAAAAGTAACTTTATAAATTTACATATATATTTTAAAATATTATATATAAAAAAATATACTATTTTAAAATATATACATAAATTTATAAAGTTACTTTTCTATTTTCTTTATTCTATTTAATATATTGTCAAAATTAAAACTTTATATATATATATATATATATATATATATATATATATATATATATATCTATATATATATATATATATAATATATATATATATATATATATAGTATATATATATATATATTCTAATATATATATATATATATATATATATTACATTATATTTTAATAATAAATATAACATATTTTTGTTTTAAATAAATATATTAAAAAAAATTCTTGTACATTATATATACATATACGTAATTATATATCAAATTAAAAAAAAATTCAAACAACAACTAACAATCCAATTAATATATACATATATAACAAATTCAAAACATAATTAAATAAACATAAATACATATTCTTCAATCTCCTTCAACTTCTTATACAACTATTTTGTTGAATCTTCCTTCTAATCTCTGCAATTCTTGACAAAATAAACATAAACCAATATATCATAAAACAATATTAATCTAAAACGAAAATATTAAAAATAAATTAAATAAATATTATACCTTTGTTACAAAAGAAATTTAGAATTGATGATAGAATTTGAAATTGATTATTTGAATATGATTATGGAAGAATGGAAGAATACAAAAGAGAGAAAGAAGAAAAGAGGGATGATGAAGAAACACAAATGATTTATGAAAAGAGAGGGCATATGTTTATTAGCCAATCAGCGACGTGAATTTCAACGTTGCAACTTTGCCACGTGATATTCACGTCGCAACCCTCAACATATATAATGTTA